TTTATATGTTATTGTAGAGGTGAGTGACTTAGATGTACGAAAAGGATGATACCAAGTTATTATAGTAATAGATTATGATACAGGTTAATGAAAGATGTGAGTATTTTGTTTGTAGTTCCAAAAGATTACTAATCAGAAGGGGAAAAGAAAGTGAACATTTTCAAATCTTACAGAAAAAGGGCGTGGAAAATGTCAGTAGACGCCTTTACGTTTTGGTGAGCTGAATTCATTAGAGAGATAATTCTTGCACAAATATATCACAAGACCAGTTACAGAGATTGCATGGTAGAGCACATATAAGGTGCATGATTTTAGAATATTCTGTCTCATGAGGACAGACAGACAAACAGGTGTGAGAAGGCATTATAATTTTCTTCCCCTTTCTTTGACCTTGTTTTGTTCCCCGAGTCCCCACTCTGCGTCTTCAACCCCCCAGCCCCCCACCCCCATGTCGAAGCAGTTTCTGGGCACTAGAAAGCTTCTGTAGATAACACTGGAGGATACAAAGACCTATTTACTAACCCAGCATCAAATTACCAAAGTCTCCCTCTTTTGCCCTCAAATCTTCCTTGTTATTCATTTTGATAAAGCATTTGATGGTGACCTTGTCTTGGTATTGAAAGCGAGTGACCGATGTCAGTGACTAATAAAGGTACCAGATAACTGTAAAGGCTAGGAGGTCCTGATGGTGTTGCCCAGAGTAAAGCCACACACACTTTCTTTGCAGTTTAACATCTCTGAACACATCGTAAAACGCATTCAGGTAACAGAGCACGAAGAGAGCGTAAGTCACTCGGCAAGCACTCACATCCTGCCTCAGGTACAGCTCAGGAAAGCTAATGATAAAAGGGCTTTTTTTTTTCTTCTTCTTTTTTTGTCTTTTGTGGACATCTTGAGAAAGAGTGAAGCTTTGTCTTTTCATTTTCTCTTTTTTCCCCCCCCCACCCCGCCCACCCCACCGGCCCAAAAGAAGAACTACATACACACACTCTCCATCTCTCTCTCTCTCTCCCTCTCTCGAGTTCCTGGCTTCGTGATGCTTATCTTTTTTTTGAGAGGAGTTTCCCTTCAATGAGAGAGACAGACACTGGTCAGAAATATGTACATAAACTGCCTCTCACCCACAGCATTGTCCTTTGAGTTGAGCATAAAACATGTAGCAGTATGTCAAAAGAGAATTTAGTGGAGCTCATTCGAACGCACTCTGCTACAGTATGCTAAACACCTCATTCACTCAGTGTCCGTGTTTGAGCTGTAGAGGAGAAAATATGAAAACGTCTTGCTTTCACTCCCGGCATTTGATCCTTGATGCAACCACTGTGTATCATAATTTCCCGTGGCTTCACGTCCATGCACGCAGTCAGATAGTGTATTTACACAATTGTTGCTGTTTTTTGAGTGGCTGCATGCCAACTTGGACAGCCAGAGCTTTGCCTACACTTAACCTTTCGCATGCATCATGATGGCATTTAAATACAAAAAGAAAATCAAAAGCTTGGTTACTTGAAAGAGTGAATTTTTGGCTTATATAGTATATTCTTTTTTCCTGCAGCTTCTGAGTGTGTAAAGCTACTTTTTTTGCCGTGTGTTATATTATGGTATAAATTTGAAAGGGTCTTTATTACGATACCTTTTCTATTTTTCTCTGAAATTTAGGATGAATAAGAATGCATCAGACCTAGTCTGAGTACTAGTAAACTAACCTTGTAAAAAAAAAGATATTTATATAAACATTAGGGTGCTTTAGGAAGCAGTTCCTTGTTCTTATTGCAAAAGCAAAGTTAAATGTTAACCCAAACACTGTATTCACAGGACCTACAGCTGCCAGGGAACAGCACAGGCAGTGGGAACGCAGAACGACGCAGCAGCGTCAGTGGCAGTGTGGGGTCGGCACCTTCCTCGCCAACCCTCACAAGAGCTGTCGAGGGACCTGCCTCGCTGCCTGCACAGTCACCTGCACCATATGTCAATGAAGCCATCAAGAAGTAAGTGCTAAGGGTTTGGGGCTGGGCATTTACCAAAAAAGTATTTTTTTGGTTAAGTGTGTTTGTGGGTACTTGTTGATATGTTTTGAATGCTTGTGACTGCTTGTCTGGATTAAGGCATGGGTTATACGATAAATTCTTTCTCTCTTTTTTTTGCACCACACTGTGTTGTTTTTTGGCTTGCTCTGAAATAATATGTTCATGCTTGTACTAGCTTTTAAAAAATACGAATTTTGCATGATTTTTACTTGTTCTTATTTCTCTGTCTTTCTAGCTTACATTCTCCATTTCCATCTCTCCCTTTTTGCCTCTCTTCCTCTCCCCTCTTCCCCTCTCCATCATCTTTAGCCCCTCCTGCCCCTCCTTCTTCCTTTTTCCCAACCATTTTCTCTTCCTCTCCCTTTCTCTACGGTTACTGATCACGCTCCAAAATGTTGCATGTGAAAAATATTCCTGTGTATATAGCTTCACATAAATCTCCTTCTCTGTCCTGCTTGCCTAGATGTCGCCTCACGCGCTCCCATACAATTAGTCGCCTGGAGATCAAGCACCGCTTCCCTTGGGCGAAAAAGCCACCCAAGTTAGTAAGCTCTTGTGCTGTTTGCTTCTGATGTTTGAGTGTGTGATGGCTTAAACCTTTCTCGTAAGAACTGTCCTTGGTTCCATTGGGTGTAACCGAGTGTGGTCATTGCGGATGATTTAGATGTTGATTGTGCAAGTTATCCCTAATAAAAATATGTTACATAGAGATCTTTGTATCTTGTATAGATTTATGCAAATGACTCATTAAGGTATGGAATCATGTATATGCACATGATAATTTATCTTGATATAATTGGCAGAGATCACAGAAAAAGAAAATATATACAAGACAGATTAGTTGAAATTTGAAAAAAACTAAAATTTTATTTATTAGTATCTTGTATTATAATTCATCATCTAAGGCAGTATAAATTACCTATGGAAAGTGAGTATATTACATTTAATTAGATATTTAATTTATCGTGCAATATATTTATACAATTGAGATCAGTTATGCAATACCACAGTAAAGATGGAAGTTTTTTTTTCCTCTGAACCATATGCAACAACTACAGGCTTTTCACTCTTCAAATCATGCACAGCAGCTAAAGAAATTAGTTGAACAAATGGCTTTTGTTTCTCTCTTTTTTTTTTTGCCATAACCTATTCCTTTCTCTTTCTTTAAGAAAAAGCCACACTGTATATATCTTTCTTGGGTGTTTTTCAGTATGCATGGCCTGTTTTACCCTTGCATTTTTTTCATTATGTTATTTTTATATTCAGTTATTTATTATACTTGGTTTCCATTTCTGACTATGCATGACTTGTCTCCCTCTGCTTTGCATGATCTGTTTGCACCCAAAAAGGCCAAAGCTGGTGAGGTCTCAGACTCTCGGTGTCGCTGAAAGTAAAACTGCCAGGCAACGCCTCTTAGCCCAGTAAGTGGCATTTTTCTTTTCTATATAATATATTTTTTCCAGAATTCTTTAATTGAATTTTTTTTTTTTCCTGTTAAATAATTCTAATATTTTATGCATGCAGGTACATAACTTCTTTAAGCAGGGACATTTACTTGGATGTTTTCTGGGTCGAGGGAGAGTGGTGACCTTTTCTCTCTCTCTCTCTGATATTTTCTAGCAGTTTCTACATGATTGTATTTGTGAATAAGTATATTTTCAAGAATTGTGCATATATATTTGTAATTTCCTCTTTTTTAGTCCAATTTTGAGGTTAGTAATGTTTTGAATTTATTCACATACATTACATTCTGTACCATCCCTCATGAGACTAATGGAAAATTTCTTATCTTCCCCTTCCTTTCAACCCCAAAGGAAACAGAAGCAGCGCTCGCGGACCACCCAGGCGGAGGAGAGGCTGCGAGGGGAACTGATGATCGTGTGCGGCGACTGCAAGGCAATGGTCCTGCACATCCTGGCTTCTATTAGGGTCCGGAGGGAGCAACAGCAGGGGACCTCGAGTCAGCATGAGTCTCCGCGCCATCACCTGCACCTCAATCTTCACCCTGTTTACAACTAATCTCAAGCATTCACAGAAGAAGGTGAAAGATCAATGCAGACTGCGAACAAAGAAGAAGATGATGAAATAAGAAGACATTGATGCCACATGAAACAATGTCGAATTATTCAAAGATCCTTCAAGTTGAAAAGAAAAAAAATATGAAAAACAAGACAAAAGGAAAAAAAAAAGAAGACGACGAAAGACGGAAAGCCGATTCTGTTCGTCTATAAAGTGTACCCCATTATTCTGATCCTCTTTGATGATAATGATGATAATTATTTAAGCATGTTTCAAGATAACAACAAACAACAACAAGAGCAACAAAGACAGGATCACTACCCTCGGAGCCTAGTCCCAGTCCTCAGCATGTCTATTCTCCGTTCATGGGTGCTGTCATCGGGCTTGAGGCATCCTGTTCGAGGACATGATTACATGATTGCATAAGCTGTGCTATTTTTTTTTTTTTTTTTTTTTTTTCTTCTTTTTTCTTTTTTCTTTTTTCTTTTTTCCCTATGGTATTGTAGTTTTTTTTTTCATTATGTATCTCAACTCTGTAGCCTTCCTTCTTGGATTTGCTTTTTTTTTTACATTTTAATTTTATTTGATTATATTTCATTTTTTTTCTTAGATAAGCATCCACTTTTTTCCAGTCATGTTTTTTTTTTGTCTTAAATGCAAAATTGCCTTTTCTTTAATCAGTTTCATTTTGCATTTTTCTCCGAGTGAAACCACCCTTCCCTTTGATAATACACAGGTATTCTCCATTCACAATGTTTATTTTATATCAGAAGCACACACAAATAAGAGAAAAAGGAAGCAAGTCCTGTAATTAGGTGCATTTTGTAAGCTTTCCCGATATTCCTGTTTTACGTAGCTTACAAACAAACCTCGTCTCTTCCCACGTCATCTAAGATTACATCCTCTTGAGAAAAAAGTATAAAGAGATTTCATGATCCTCTAAGAGAAAGGAGATTGTTTTTTTTTTTTTATCATTAGGGAAGGAAAACGAAGAGGAAAGAAGGGCGATATTAATAATGATAATTGCCCCTTTCCTCTGGCCAGGAAAACAGATCATGATATTTCTTGTTATCCAATGTAGCTCCCTTTGCTTACCATATCATATCTATGGATTACAACAGACTTGTTTTTATTCCTATGCTCTACAGTGTAGTATTGTGTGTAAGTGGTTATGTAGATATTCAGTGGTTGGCGAATATGCGGCAGTTGGACTTACGGGCGCGATTGATGCTGGGTCGCTTAAGGAGCTGGTAATGACATGGAAAAATTATTTCACTGGCTAATTCTTCTGGCTGTGCTGTGCAGTTAGTTGTTTAGGTAAAAGACATGTAGCACAGGTTAATGAGAAATTTGGTTCCATATTTGTTCAATTGTTTGATGATTTTTGTGGTTATGTAGAAAAAAAGAAATATTTCTTGAGCAATGTTTTCTATTTGTGTTCATGCTTTCTTTTTTTTATATTGATAACTTCTTTGCTGTAAGTTAACAGGGTGCTAAGAGTCAGTACCAGTAAGAGCACATCTTTCACAAAGAACGATGTGTGCTTGGTATGGGCACAAAGTTCAGCAGTAGAATGCTTCATTGAAACATGGCTTTTCATTTTTTTTTTTTTTTTTTTTTTTTTTTTAATCTTCACCTTTTTGTTTTGTTTTATGATCACAGCATTTTTTGGTTTTGTTTTTGTTTCTTTTAGCCAGGACTTGTATAGAAAATATGGACATCAGATTTTTTTTTTTCTATTTTGATAAACAAGATTCTTTAATTTAATGAGAATCTAATATTTTGTAGGTAGAAGTTCAGTTGACTGCATAGAAGAGATGATACCACTTTTAGTAGATTTTTTTATGAAGAACTTTTGAGGGCCAGGCACCTTAAGACCAGAGATAAGGAATAAAAAATGTAGCTTATATGTAAAGCTAACCCTCCCCCCCCCCCAAAAAAAAAAAAATGGGGAAAAAAAAAATTAAGCATTCAGTCTGTTAGGGTGCCCCCATTGATTAGGAAATGAGGAACTTAAATTTGCATCACAGTGCCACTTTCTGATTGTATCTCTAAAAATAAGACAAAAGTTTTTTTGTTTTTTTTGTGTGTGATAACTTGAAATTTTGTTTGTGTTTGTGAATGTACAATTTTTCCCAAAAGAAAGGAAATAATTCAGTATCCCCCTTTACCTTTTTATTATTATTTTTTTTTACTTAAAAAGAAAAAAAAAATCATGCACAGTTCAACCTCTCCGTTGATTACCATTTGTTAAATTATCAGTCGATTCCTGAGGACTGTTATTTTTCCCATGGGATAGGTGACTTGTTGGCATAAGACGAGGATGACATCGACTCACGTAGGAAATCCAGGAAAGCCAGCGGGATTTGTGGTGGAGTTTATTTCCACGGATTAGGCTTGTCTCGTTCTCCGCATGTGTACAGTTAAGTTAATTTCTGTAACCTGACCTCATATTGAAGTCAGGTCATGCCATAATTTTTACTCATTAGAGATTCTTGCTCCAGTAATGTGAAGTTGAGATGTCGAGAGGAAATTTTTTTTCAATTTTTTTTCAATTTTTTTTCATTAGCGTAATACAACAGCTAACGTATCACTATGTATTTAGTTACCTTGTGAATGCAGTGTAATGATGTTCACATTAACGTAACCCTAAGACGTTTCTTCTCCTGTTAATAGCCAAACTAGAAATGCAAGAGAACCACAAAAAAAAAAGGTTACATATATACATTCCAAAGTGCATTTATATTTAAAGAAGAGAAATTTGAATAGTGAAGTGTGTTTATTGGTGTTTTTCATTATTATTATTATTATTATTATGATTAATTTATTTTTTGTTTTTATATCTTTTTTTCTTTTTTCTTTTTTTTTTTTTTTTTACTCATATTGAGTTTAGGTGAATAAGATGAGAAAAATTTCTCCCAGTTTAAGAGGATGAATGTCTTCTTTCATTTGCATTATTTGTGGGGATTCTTCCTCGACAATTTCTTTCCCTATGCGCTGTTTTGCCCTTGTTTGTACAAAGTTATATATATATATATTTTTTTGTCCTTTGTATATAAACTCCCTCTTATGTTAATATAGATTTGAATTAAAGCCCCCTTTTTTTTTTCTTTTTCTTCTTTCTTTTCAAAGTGCATACAGTCACAAACTTTGTGTATTCTGTACTGTCAGTGTTTATTATATGCAGAAGAGTTACTGTAGAGTCCTTGGCTTTGATGCTTCCATGTGAAAACTCATTTAGATATGTTTTAGCTTGCAAGCTGTTGTTAGTTGGCAATATAACTCTGTTCCAGTGCATGTCTTGACTACCTGTTGCATCTTTTCTCTTCTTCCTTTTTTTTAACCCTTTCTCTCTGTCTTTGTCTCTAGCTTTCTCTCTTTCTTTCTTTCTTTCTTTCTTTCTTCAGTCGTTCCCATGTTCTCAGGTTAGACTTTTTACATTGCAGTATATTATTATATATCTATATTTTTTTTTTCTTTTTTCTTCCTTTTTGTAATAATTTTTCTTTTACGTGGGTATATATACGTATACACCAATGTGTCATTTTTCAATTACAGTCGTATGATGTTTTGATTTTTATTTGATATTGCTGGAGCGCCGAGGAATTATGGGTAACATGCACTTTTTAAATGCATGAACATTAGAAGCACAAATTGGTATACATTATCCTTTGTAGTAGTATCATCATATTATTGATAGTATTATCATAATAATTATTATTGTTTATTATTATTATTATTATCATTATTATAATTATAATTATTATTATTATTATTATTATTATTATTATTATTATTATTACCATTTACATGTATTGGTACATTTGCATTGCAAAAATTTGTAATATGAATGTTTCTTTTCCCTTGTTATGAATTCTTAGTGTTTTAGTTCTGTATTTTTGCAAGGATATTGAATTTCCCTTAAGCTTTGCATATATTTTTTATGATTTACTATTGACATAACATGTATGAAGAGAGATAGGAAACATCTTTTATTCTAAGGACAACAACACAGTCACCCGGTAAGAGTAGAAGAAGATACAAGATTTAAAAGAAAAAGAAAAAAAAGTGTTGGAATTCTTTTCCCCATAAAAGCTCTGTATCATTTTCTTTTCTTCTCCTTGACACAGACATGAGAGAAAAGAATAAAGCATTGTTATTTTAAATCGATAGATTCCTCCAGGTGGTAATTAAAAAGAAAAAAAAAATATATTGGATGAGCTTTATGCTTGAAACAGACAGCTTATACTGAGATATTTTTACATTTATGGATAATGTGTGGTTAACTGCAGTCAGGTGTCACATTATTGTATATCTTCTGCTTTAAGGGAAGATGTGGCTATATTCAGACCTATCGGAGTTCTTCAAATTATCTAAAGCTATGACTTGTTTTTTGTCGCTTGATCATTCACTCTTTCTGTCAATCTTTCAGTTTGTGATTTACTTGTGTAATTGTAGCATTTGGCTTAAATGTTCATTGATATTAATATTATCATTTTTATTATTATTATTTATGATAACCGTTTATTGTAATATTTCCATTAAATTTGACATGTTTCAGACTTTTCAAAATATTGTGTGATATATATTGATTATTTTGTGATTGAAAGGTGTGTGTAAATATACTCTATAAGGCCGAATTTGGAATGCTGAAATTTGAATATGTATATTTTATTTTAATTGAATATAAAATGACACTTTATTAAGTCTAAAGGTATTTATTTTAAAAACTGTAGCATTATTAAATTAAAAAGGTGATGAGTATTTGTGGAAGAAGCGAGACAGTTTATTAATATATACATATATGTTGTTTTCATACTGGAATAGTATAAAAAAACTATCTGAGTTGGAAAAATTAAAATCATTAAGCCATCATACATAGGAATAAAGGAAAAAGCTTGCCATGCTGTATGCGTACACCTGACTGCTTTATTCCATATTCTGAGAACAAAAGTTGATTCTGTGTACTTACTTGGTGGCATATGGAAGGTCCATCATGAATGCAAACTTTATTGTACTTAATTACACGATCCTCAAATTAATTATCTGCTTTCGAGAGACTGAAGTTGAGATGCTTTAAAGATAGGGCAAATATTTTGTGTACCATTTAATCTTAAAATACTCTGTTGCAGGATTCAATTGCTTACTTAAAAAAAAAAATGTTCTTAAATGCTCTTTTGCCAGGGCGATATACAAAACTATTTTACAATGCCACTGTTTTAAATTGTGATTTTTACATCCTTTTTTTTTTCTTCTCTTTCTCTTTGTCTCATATTCTCTCTTTCTCTCGCTATCCTGTGGATTGTCACCATCCCAGTTGTGCAACATCTTGCAATGGCTGGTGATTGTCATACTAATAATGTTTGTGGTGTCAATTTCTTGCGTTCAAGTTCCCAGGTTTCGTATGTGTACAAAGTATATCAGTTGAATATAGTCATTGTAAATATATAGACTGGTTTGGAATTAAGTATAAAAATAAAGTGTTATGTCAAATATATCGCATTTTATTTATACCTGTTTTGGATAAAAGCAGAGAAAAAATATGCCTAAAATGCCAAGTAGGTTTTCTATAAATTTGTGACACTGTGCAAGAGTAGGCATGAAGAGGAAATATTCACAGGAATTTTGTTAAAACCAGAAGGACAATAACATTGCAACAACATTATGAATATGAATATGAATGTGAGTGGTAACAGTAATAATGATTAAAATAGTTGTAAGCAAAAAGAAAACATTAAAATTAAAATCAGCTATGTAAATATCGATAAATGAAACAAAGGTGAAAATGGAAAACAAAATCAACCAAAAATTGAATAAGGATATATATTAACAAAGTTACCGAGAATTCTTTGTCTTTGCAGCTCCATCTAAAGAATTCCATATGGCAAATTTATCAGCCGCACTGACATGTGCCTTTTCCAGAAATCCACTGCCCAGTAGTCAGTAAATTTAGGCTG